CCGAGCAGACATGTGGCTGCCCTACCCACAGTGCTCGGCCCACCCTGAAGTCATATGTAGACACAGCCCCTATGCCTAGCCTCCCCAGCTCTTCCCAGATATCTGGAGGGTGCTCTCTGGGAAAGGAGTGTGCTCTTGTACCCCACAGGGCTGAAGATGGGGAGGGGGGTTCTGTAACCTCTAACTAGTTAGAGACAGGAGTTGGCGAAGACACCCGAGCTTCCTGGCTGCTTGAGGGTCAGCTCTGAGGTTGTTGTCCACCGTCTCAGAGGGTCCCCGCTGGGGTTGGATTCCAACTGTGCACAGCGGTAACCTGTCTGTGGACACACCCTTCATTGGCTTTTCGCCTTTCTCTGTCTTCTTTCTCACTCCTTCACAGTCCCTATTGGGATCACCTCCCCAGTGAAGTCCTTGCGCTCCAGTTCTCATTTTGGGGGTCTGCTTTTAAGGTATTCCCCAAACATGATTCATTCAATTCCCCATCTCTGGCATGCACCCAACTGTCATGGTCAGACGTCCAAGGCTGGTCTCTTCTAGAAGAAAGGCAGAGACACGGCTCTTCACCAACTCCGGGGACGAACCACATCACACCCGCTCTTGGGGGGGCTCCAGCCTGTTGGGGAGACAGAGATGGGCCCAGATGAGGGTCACTCCGTGTGCTGGGAACTGTATCAGAAAAGTCAAGCAAGTCTTTGCTAAGCAGTGACAGGGCTGGGTACTGAGGGCTGGGTACTGAGGGCTGGGTAGGAGTTGGCTGTTTGGGAGACAGGGAGCCATGCTAAGCAGTGACAGGGCTGGGTACTGAGGGCTGGGTACTGAGGGCTGGGTAGGAGTTGGCTGTTTGGGAGAGAGGGAGGCATGCTAAGCAGTGACAGGGCTGGGTACTGAAGGCTGGGTAGGAGTTGGCTGTTTGGGAGACAGGGAGGCATGCTAAGCAGAGGTTTGGGGGTATGAACATACACAAGTTGGGCAGGGCAAAGGAGTAGGAAGGAAACTAGATTTGGTTGGGGGAAAGGGCAAGGGTGGGCGGAGTTGGGGCCTGGCAGGCCCTGACTGTGATGGAGAGCTATGGAGTGCTCTGAGCTGGGGACTCGCAATGTCAGGCGAGGGTTTGAAGATGATCCCTCTGGATTGGTCACAACCAGAGGCTGACTCAGCCAGACTCCCTAGGTCAAGGCTGAAAAGTTGGCGTGTTTTAGGGGGTGATTTTGAGCCCGAGGCACTAGGGAAGAGGTAGGGGCTGAGGCCCAGGAAGGAGTGTTCCTGAACTTGAAAGGGTCCACCTCCCAGGACCAGCCTTCGGTCTTGATGGGACCTGATTCAGCTAAACAAAGGCGGGAGGGGGGACAAGGCCTGGGTGATTTGTCAGCTCACTGCACCTGAGGTAACCATTAACCCCTCCCCTGGGAGAACCCAGGGCTGGTCCCTTGAGGGGCAGATCCTGGACAGAATGGAGGACTACACAGAGGCAAGCTTGGCGCCAGAGCTGGAGGAGCAGAGGGTCTTAATCGACAACCCTGCCGACATCGTGGTCATTGCTGCTTACTTCCTGCTGGTCATTGGTGTCGGCTTGTGGGTGAGAAGTTGAGGGGGTGCTGCTGGGGCCAGGTTTCTGGGGCCTGGCGCAGGAAGACTGCAGGTGGCAGTAGGGGCAGGATGCCTAGATCCTTGAGGGAGAAACCAGGTGCTTGGGAAAGGAGGGGGGAGACTTGTCCCCCCAAATAAGTCTTTTGATAGCTGTAAGAGGCCTAATCACCACTCATTCTTTGTCTCCCATCCTTGGTTGGCTGTCCTCGGGGACAGCATTCTAGGTGAGGCCTCTGTTTGCCATCTATGTCATGGCTGACAGAAGCCCATGGCCTGAACCAGGGCCCCGGAAAAATCAGGCTTGGGTAGCTGGACAACAGCTTAGCGCTTGGGTGGCTCTGGGGGCCTGGGAAGAGGTTGTGGGGGTGGGGTGTGAACCATTGGGGAGCAGAGCGCGGGTTAATCTTCAGCCTGAAACAAGGCTGAGGAATGTGTTGAGAAGGCTAATGAGGTCCAAAGACGCACCCTGAGCCCAGGTCTCCCCCAACTCCTGTCCCCCAGTCCATGTGCAGAACCAACAGAGGCACCGTGGGCGGCTACTTCCTGGCCGGACGGAGCATGGTGTGGTGGCCGGTGAGAGAGAATTCCACTTCTAGGTATTGAGCACATGTGCATAAAAGGCCTGTATTAGAATGTTCAGGGAAGCATTGCCCATTGCACTCAATGCCCCAGAATTAGAAACAACCCACATGTCCATCAAGGGGAGAATTATGGTGAATCCATTCTGCGGAACATTAAGTAGAAGCCCCCCCCCCCCCCCGGTCGCCCAGGTCGGGGCCTCTCTCTTTGCCAGCAACATCGGCAGCGGCCACTTTGTGGGCCTGGCGGGGACTGGTGCTGCCAGCGGCTTGGCTGTGGCTGGATTTGAGTGGAATGTGAGCCCCTTTTTGCCAATAACCCCACCCCCAGTGGGAACCCCTGGAAGGGTACGCCTAGGGAGGCTCGGGCAGAGGGGGTGTGAGACTGATTGTGGGTGCGGTTGGCTTCAGGTGAGGGTCACGGGTCCAGCTCGGAAGCAGAGGGAAGTAGGAAACGACCACTTTCAGGGTAGGGGTAGGTCCTGCTGCTGACCTGCCATGTGAGCCGGGGCCAGCCCCTACCTCTGTGGCCTACGTACTCCTCTCGGAAGTGGGGTGAACAGCCTCAGGGACAGTGAAGTGCTTGTTCCGATGCTCTCGGAAGTGTGGCCTATGAGGTCCCTGGGCAGAGTTAAAGCCCTTGCAGAAGTGGGAGACAAGGCTCTGGGACTGAGGCACGCCTTGGAAAGCTGGGGCGGTTAAGGCTCTGCGCTCAGGGCTTCCTGGAGGAGGAGGCCTCTGAGCTGAGCCTCCATGGTTTCCTGGGTTGGGAGGGGAGGGGAGCCCTTCCTAGCGAAGCTGGGGTCAGGCTGAGGGGTCGGTCTGTGCTTGGACTCCAGTGCTTGGGGGTCAGGGGCAGGGACCTCTTGGGAAGGACTGGCCAGGGGTGGTGGCCTGGGAGGCAAGGAGGGCTCTAGTTAAAAGCCCAAGAAGGAGAGAGGGGTCTCATACCCTCAGGGGTAGGAGGCGCTGCAGGCGGGGTCTGGGACCGGGAGTCGCCCAGCTGCCCTGTGCCCACAGGCGCTGTTTGTGGTGCTGCTGCTCGGCTGGCTCTTCGTGCCGGTGTACCTGACGGCGGGCGTCATTACCATGCCGCAGTACCTGCGCAAGCGCTTCGGCGGCCATCGCATCCGCCTCTACCTGTCCGTGCTCTCGCTCTTTCTGTACATCTTCACCAAGATTTCGGTGCGCGCGCGGGACGGGGCCCTGGAAGGGCGGGGCCGCGGATGGAAGCGCTTTGGAAAGTCCTGGAGGGGGCGGGACCAAGGAGAAGTGGACGTGAGGTCCTGATGGGGGTAGGGAGTCATGGATTTCTGGGGCCACGGCCACCGTGGGTGAGACCTGGGGAGGTCAGGGCATTGAAAAATGAGCGCGCCTTTGAGGTGTGGCCACCCAGGGCTGTGGTCTGGGCAGGAGGTGGAACTGCGCCCCTGCCCCGGCCTCTGGGCCTGACCTGCCTGCTCGCTCCTCCCCCAGGTGGACATGTTCTCGGGGGCGGTATTCATTCAACAGGCTCTCGGCTGGAACATCTACGCCTCCGTCATCGCGCTCCTGGGCATCACCATGGTCGACACTGTGACAGGTGGCCATGGGGGGCGTAGGGAAGGGAGGGGCTCGGGGTGTGATAGGAGCCACGCAGCCCCGCCTCCGCTTCACGAGTGCATGAGCCAGGGAGTGGGCCATGGCTTTGAAACGTGTTCTCCGGGAAGGGGCACCTTTTCATATTCCAACAACCACGCGGTCTGCACTAGCAGCAGCCTGTCCGGGCTGCCCCCGCTGACCAGGCCCCTTGCAGGAGGGCTGGCGGCGCTGATGTACACGGATACCGTGCAGACCTTCGTCATTCTCGGGGGCGCCTGCATCCTCATGGGTTACGGTACGCCCCGTGGGGAGGGGGCGGCGGCCGAGGGCAGGGCTCACGCTGGAAGCTGGGACAGCTGAGTCCCAGGCGTGGGTTCTAGGGAGGGCCTTGGCGCGGGCGCCCGGTCCCCTGACGGTTTTGCCCACACAGCCTTCCATGAGGTGGGCGGGTATTCTGGGCTTTTCGACAAATACTTGGGGGCAATGACGTCGCTGACGGTGTCGGAGGATCCGGCCGTGGGCAACATCTCCAGCTCCTGCTACCAACCCCGGGCCGACTCCTACCATCTGCTCCGGGACCCTGTCACGGGGGACCTGCCGTGGCCTGCGCTGCTCCTGGGGCTGACCATCGTCTCCGGCTGGTACTGGTGCAGCGACCAGGTGCGAGGTCAGGGGTTGGGTGGGGAGCAAGGCTGGGCAGAGCCAGAACTAGTGTGGGCGGGGCTGAGGTGGGTGGAGCCTGAAACCATCCGGTGGGGCTGGGCTGAGGGCGTGGGAACTCTGCTGGGTGGAGCTAAACCCAAGGAAGCCGGGTGCAACCGGCAGGGGCTGTGTGTGGAGCGGAATTGCTGCGGAGCTGAGCCAGGCAGGGCCTGAGTTAGCGCCGGGAGTTGAGGCGAGGCCTAGGAGGCGGGGTGTCCGGGACTGGCCACACACAGGCAGCTGAACGCCCCGGGTCACAGGTCATCGTGCAGCGCTGCCTGGCGGGGAAGAACCTGACCCACATCAAGGCGGGCTGCACCCTGTGCGGCTACTTGAAGCTGATGCCCATGTTCCTCATGGTCATGCCGGGCATGATCAGCCGCATTCTTTACCCGGGTAATGTGTGCCCCACCCAGGCCCCTTCCTGCAGAAGGACCGGGCGTCCGCTTCCCCTAAGATGTGGGACCCTGGCCATCCAGTCCCGCCTCCCTCCAGGGCTCCCACCTCCTCTCCGTTAGATTCCCAGCCCGCACTGCAGGGATCCGCGTTCCCGGACCAGGCCCTGTCCTAGGTGTGTCGTGCCCTCTCCCCCAGACGAAGTGGCGTGCGTGGTGCCCGAGGTGTGCAAGCGCGTGTGCGGCACCGAGGTGGGCTGCTCCAACATCGCCTACCCGCGGCTCGTCGTCAAGCTCATGCCCAACGGTGAGG